GAGAGAAAGGTCTTCCATCTGCTGGTTCACTCCCCAGATGGCTGCAAGGGCCAGGCTGGGCCAGGAGCCAGGAATTCCATTCAGGTCTCTCACATGTGTGCGGGGGCCCAAGCACTTAAGCCATTTCCCACTGCCTTCCCAAGCACATTAGCAGGGAGCTGGATCAGAAGTGGAGCAGCTGGACTTGAATTGGGACCCATATTGGATGCTGGCATCACAGGTGGTGCTTTTACCTGCTACGCCACAGTGCTGGCCCTATCCCCATTTCATAGATAGCTTGGTGAATATCCTGAACACCCAGGGGCCAGAGAGTTGGCAAGTGGAAGACTTGGTCTTGTATTTTTCACCGGACAGCCTCTCACTTCATCCAAGTCTGGAGAGTGCACTCATGGATTAGAAAAAAAATTATAACCAAGAAAGTTGAAAAGCAGTGGAGAGAAAGGTCCTAATTAACCCTTCATTCAAGAGAAAAATTCATCCTATTAAAATCCCCTTTCCCTAGGTATTCCTGGTAATTGAGATTTTACAGCTCTATAAAATATCATGAAGTCAACAAAACACACACACGTATAGCTCCACAAGAGAATGGCAATAATGGTATCCCTGGGGCAGGTAGAGGAATAGAAATTCATTACATTAGATCATCCTGAAAGAACGACATGAGAGACCATGAGCAAGGCTAGTAGACGTCGGAAAAGCGGAAAGCAGGTGGGGGAGAGAAAAGAAGTTATTTCTGGCACACCTAATTACTACAGAAACTCACCTCCCAACTCCCAGGATAATTCACACTTTTGTGGATCAGTGTGTCACATTACCTTCTCAGATCGTGGAAAAATTACCCTGAAAGTTTTGCATTCACATAGTGGGAAAATTTCGTATTAGATGATGTGAGCTTTCTAAATAAAAAGTTAGTTGCTACATCTAAGTTTGCAAAGTTTTCTAATAATAAAGGTTTTGATGATTAGACATGTTTACCTTCTAAGAATTTTAATAACTAAACAGCTAAAGCTATGCCATAGGACAGCAAATCCCAGAAGGACAACAACACACCATGAGGATTCTGCCTGGCACCTGGAACACTAAGAACACACAACGTGGACTGAGCAGCTCTGCCTGTTCGTTCTCGCTGCCAGCCTGGAGAGTGAGATCTGGGCTAGGAGGCAAAGCACAAAGACTCCTGTCAACCTCTGGAGAGTCCCAGGTCCCTTAATTTCATGACCTCATCTTACCCAGAGCAAGGTCTCTAAGTTTGTCTCTGTCACTCTTTCAAGTCAAATATACCATCAGATGATGATTGAATGACTTCATGAGCACAGTCAGCGCTCATTAAGTATTGCGTGTCTTGTATGACTCCACAGCCTAGAATGAGCATAGGCTGAGGATCGAGAACTTGGGCTTTGGCATTTGCTAGCTCTATGGTGTTGTTAGAGTAACTTGACCTCTCTGTGCTTTAAATTGCCCATCCATAAAATCGGCTGATGCCTACCCCATGGTATAATTGCAAGGATTAATTGAGTCAATGTAAATACAGTGCTTAAAAGAATGTCTCAGACCTTGTAACTCATCAATAATTATTAGCTGTTTTTTTCATTTTATAAAATATTTATTTATTTAGAAAGAGTTACAGAGAGAGGGAGAGACAGAAAGATAGATAACTTCCATCCACTGATTCACTCCCTGGATGGCCATGGTAGCAAGTTCTAGGCCAGGCCAAAGCCAGGAGCCAGGATCTTCATCCGGGTCTCCCATTGGGGTGGCAGGGGCCCATACCCTTGAGCCATTTTTTTGTTGCTTTTCCCAGGCCATTAGCAGGGAGCTGAATGAGAAGTGGAGCAGCCAGGACTCGAGCCGGTGCCCATATGGGATTCCTGGGTCGCAGGCAGGGACTGTACCTACCACACCACAGCACTGCCCCTTATTAGCTGCCTTTACTGTATCTTTCAATGATGCAACATTCCTTAAGATATTCATAGGCCAAGTCCACAGGAGCACTAGCCACCAGGGAGAAAAAAATGCAACTCTAATGTGCATAAAGAGCAAGGGCAGCAATGAGTAAAACCATGCATTGCTTGCTGCAGGTTGCATCTGGTCAATAGAGCTGAGCTTCATGCTGTTCCATGGTTGGCCCACACCATCAGCTCTGCTGGCAAGTGGGAGGTGCTTGTCATGTAACCTGAGTGGCAGAGTAGGGGTGGCCTGGCACATATCCATCCCTACCACTGGGCAAAAAGCATGTGTCTGCATTTTCTGCTGTCGCTGCCTCAGAGCTGGACATGATAACTGCTAGGCAGGTGCAAGGCCTGGAGAAAGGGCACAGTGGAAAAGCTGGCATGGAGATAATCCCTGTGAAGTGGTCTGGGGCTGAATTTTGAAGGCAGGTGGGAAGAGAGCTTGAGGAGAAATGAGCAGAATTTTCCAGGTGGGAGGAGTAGGATGTATGTGCCCCTGAGTAGGAAGTCTGGAAAAAGGCCGATAGTCTTGGCAGCAAGAGAGAGCGTGAAATAAGGTGTAGCAGCAGGTGGAACCAGTAATGACCAGGGAGGGGGTTGACCATTTCCAGAGAAACCGTCTCTGCAGCAGGGTGAGCTTTGTCGTCAGGTGAGCTACCTGTTGGGATTATATTTAGAGGTTTGTTCTTTTCTTAGAAAACCTCAAATGATTACACTTTGCACAGAATGTTTAAGTAGGTCACAAAAACCAAGGAATGCTTTTTTCTCTCTCAAATATACCCTGAAACTATAGGTTCCAAAGAATTGGATGCTAATCCGCTCGATTTTCCTGAGGGACAGAAAGGCAAATCCTTCCTGCCTCACTTCCATCTCCCTCCACTCCATTTAGAGACTCCCAGTTCACTGTTCAGTGAAAGGAAGGAGCATTTTCTCAGCCAGAAAACCAATTCTCCAGGTGAGAGCGAGCGAGATGAGGATTTCTAAAGGCTGAGAATTCTCACAGGCTCAGGGCATTTTATATCACTCCGGGGAGATAACCATGGGGATTGCAGGGCTCTTAGTACAGAGAAAAACAAAAACTCCACACTAAACCTAACCCCTACTAAATTTCTTATATGTCAACCAATGGTGGTGCTCAGTATCTGTTGCCATGGCCCAGTGGTCAGACATGAACCTCAGTCAATCACAGAATTCTTTCATCCATGCTGCTCACAGACAGGAGAGAAAAAATAATGGGAAATCATCTAGGCAGGACTTTTTTTTTAGTTTATTCTGAGGTTCGGGAAGAATACAGGGATGAGATTCTGATCAGAAATCGCAATATAGGACAATACTAGTACCTAGTGTCTTGAAACTATCTTTAATGTTTTTTAATTACCAGATTCAAATTCTTTGATAATGGTCTTTCATGCTCTCCCCTCTTTTCCTCTTTTCTCTTCCTCTTTCTTGAGCTCCCCAACTTTGGAAACACAAGTTCTGGCCAAACCAGCTCACCACGCACACCTTCTTGGTCTCATTTCTATCCCTGTCTTCCTGCTATCTCCACCAGCTGAAATGCTCTCTCCCAACTAGAGATTTTTTTTTCTCTTTGCAGTTGTGAGGGAGGCTGAAGCATGCCTAGAAGAAATAGATTTCTGAGGCACAAAGGTGGTGGGGGCAGACGGGTAGGTGGGCCCCAAACACAACAGGACCCTTCAGCATCCATTAGAAATGTGTTTTTGTCTCCAGGTCTCTGCTCTGGTCAAGGGCTCCTCTTTCCAAGAAATGTCGGAGGAATCAGCCTGGATTCAATTTGGAGATACCCATCTGCGTGTAGGGTAAAGAACAAGGAGGATCTAGGCCAACTGTGTCACCTCTTTGAGGAGACAGTCAATGGTCTGGGAAGGTGAGTCACCAAGGCCTGCGTAGGTGAGGCAAAGGAGGAATTGAGTGCCTGAGATGTCAAATCCAAACTTGAGAAAAAAGGGGGAAACAGAGAAGAAGCAGAAGGTGCAAGTGGCTGAGAAACAGGCGATTAGAGAGAGGCCAAGACATGAGGGGGTCTAATAGAGATTGAGCAGTATCTCTTTTATTGTGAACTTCTAGGTCTGATCTTTTGGTTCACCCATTTCTGCCGCATAGGAGTCATGGAATAACTCCTGACATTCTGCTTTTTGTTACAGGTGAGCTGACTCAGAGCAAGTTATGCTGCTATAACAGAATGCCACACACCAGATAATTTATAAACAGCAGACGTCTATTTGGTGCACACTTCTGGAGACCTGGGAGTCCAAGATCGAGGGGTTACATCTGAACAGGACCTTCTTGTCACATTACAACATGGTGGAAGGCACACATGGAGGGAGAAAGATGGTGAGTGAGAAGCAGGATGCATCCCTTTATCAGAAAAACTCCCATAATACCAAACTCATTCCTGCCATATGGTGTTAATCTATTTGTGAGTGTGAAACATCATGACCTGATCATGTATTACAGGTACCACCTCTCAATTGATGCCTTGGACATCAAGTTCCCAACAGAAGAACTTCAGGGGGTACATTCAAACACAGAATAAACCTTTATCAGGACACAGTTTGAACAGAAAACACAAAGCAGCAGATGTGCTGCCTCTCTTGGTCTCTCCTGTGGTTGCCATACACCTGTAAGTAGTCAACATATTAAGAAACAGGGGGCCAGTGCCGTGGCTCAATAGGCTAATCCTCCACTTAGCGGCACCAGCACACCGGGTTCTAGTTCCGGTCGGGGCGCCGGATTCTGTCCCGGTTGCCCCTCTTCCAGGCCAGCTCTCTGCTGTGGCCAGGGAGTGCAGTGGAGGATGGCCCAAGTACTTGGGCCCTGCACCCCATGGGAGACCAGGAGAAGCACTTGGCTCCTGCCATAGGATCAGCGCAGTGCGCCAGCTGCAGCATGCCAGTCATGGCGGCCATTGGAGGGTGAACCAACGGCAAAGGAAGACCTTTCTCTCTGTCTCTCTCTCTCACTGTCCACTCTGCCTGTAAAAAAAAAAAAAAAAAAAAGAAGAAGAACAAGAACAAGAACAAGAACAAGAAGAAGAAACAGGGAGCTATAAAGATACTGCTCTGTCTGCAACTCCCTTTAAGCTCAAGAAAAGCCGATGAGTCCATCACCTTCCTGAACCAGCCTGGAATCCTGGTTCCACCATCATTGTCAACAGTTCATGGAAACTAAGCTTCAGTTGATAGATTTAATCAACTTATAATTTTATAGCATGAAAGGTATGCTGTTTGCCCATATCATTTGCTGTCTAAAACAAAAATAAAGACAATATACTCAAATTGAAAGAGATACCCGTAAATAGAAATTTCAAAAACCCACATGATGGCCTTAGAGGCCATCTTTTATAGAGTCAGAAAGCTATGGAAATCAGTGAGCCCCAGACCAGCTCTACCCTGGGAGCTCTGTCTAAAAATTAGATCTTTCATAAATCATACTGCCTTCTCACACGGGATCACATGGATGATCCACTCCTCATACAGCCTCTAAAAGCCTAGGGCAGGCCAGAAAGACAAATTCATTCAGGCTCCGGTTGAGGCAGCCATCTGCACAGGCAGCTAGAAGAGGGCTCTTGAAAAGGATGTTGAAGTCTCTAAAGAAACTTCTATCATCAAGACACTCTGCTTTAGAGTACAGTGAGAATGCTGCTGCAAAGAACCCAACACAGCAGCAGCAGCAAGGAGTGGTGACACCCATCCCATGAGGGCTAACAGCAGCTGCTGCAGAGGGATTTTCCCACACGCAGTCCTCCTGACCAAAGTGGGTCTTAATGCTACCGAGGAAATGAGGGGTAAGGCCCAACAGTGAATACAGTGATTATTCTCAGTTCCCCTCTGGATAGGACTTCGCGCCCAGCTCCATATTAGAAAGGGTTCCCTGATCCACCAGGGTTCCCATGCAACTCAAATAATGATTCTGTTGCGATACTTGGATGTCCCCTGAGGCCCAAGACCGAGGTTCAAGTTCTTTTGTGGCGTAGTGCCAGGTTTCCATCCTCTTTATGCCAGACTCTGTGTTGTTTTTCTAATTCGCACAATAAAATGCTGTTTGTTCAAAAGGGAAGATCATTAGAGGGTTTGCAGGAGCCCCTCAAAAGCTCCATTCATTTTAATGGGGTACTTGACATCTTGCAAAGTTCACACACATGGGGAAGAGATTGCACAGTGTGAACTGGGAAAAAAAAAAAACACTGCTTATTCCTCCAGGAGGATGCTGATAACGTGAGGTGACTGGAACATGACAGGTTTTATGGGACAGCTCTGTAAATGGTCATGCCTTTCAGCACAAAACAAATTAAAACATAATCATAACCCCAGCACCACTGTTACCACTCAGTGGCATTCTTTGTGATTAAGTATGAGGGTCTTCAGAAAGTTCACTGACACTGGAATTAAAAGGTAAATTGACTTTGGTTCCAAAATGTTGAAATTCATGCTGATGAGAGGTCTTCAAAAAGTTCATGGAAGGGGTCTTCATCATGGCACAGGATTAAGCCCCCACTTGGGCCACTGACATCTCATATCTGAATGAATCCTGGCTGCTCGGCTTCCCTTCCAACTCCCTGCTAATGTGTCTGGTAAGGCAGTAGAAGATGGCCCAAGTACTTGAGCTCCTGCTACCCATGTGGGAGACCCAGATGAAGCTCCTGGCACCTGGTACCAGCTTAGCCCAGACTTAACTGTTGCCATTTGAGGAGTGAACCAGCAGATAGAAGATCTCTCTCTCTCTCTCTCTCTCTCTCTCTCTCTCTCATACTCTATCTCTCTTCTCTCTTTTTTCTCCATCTCTCCAATTCCCTCTGTCACTCTGCCTTTCAAATAAATGAATAAATAAATATTTTTTAAAAGTTCATGGAGCTGGCACCGCAGCTCAATAGGCTAATCCTCCGCCTTGCAGCACCAGCACACCGGGTTCTAGTCCCGGTCGGGGCGCCGGATTCTGTCCTGGTTGCTCCTCTTCCAGTCCAGCTCTCTGCTGTGGCCCGGGAGTGCAGTGGAGGATGGCTCAAGTGCTTGGGCCCTGCACCCCATGGGAGAAGCACCTGGCTCCTGCCTTCGGATCAGCGCGGTGCGCCGGCCGCAGTGCGCCGGCCATGGCGGCCATTGGAGGGTGAACCAACGGCAAAAGGAAGACCTTTCTCTCTGTCTCTCTCTCTCACTGTCCACTCTGCCTGTCAAAAAGAAAAAAAAGAAAAAAAAAGAAAAGTTCATGGAAAATGTGTATTTTGAAAAAAGGCATGATTTCAAAATTGCACTAAAATAAACCTTTCTTTTAATTACATGTTTTCCAAAACTTTTTGAAGTATTGTCATATGTATTACGTTTACCAGAGCAAAAACTGTCAACTGTAGAATGGCAATTCATTTAAAGTTTTGAAAATAAAATGATAGATAAAAATGTTTTTAAATAACATTTTATTTTCAGTAGCAAGTCAAATCATTATTGGATGTCCAAAAATCTTCCCAATGCTGTGGTTTCACGGTGTTGACTATAATTCAGAATAAATAGGTCATTTCCAAAATATTTTAAAATCCATTCTTTAAGGTTTCAGTTTACTGTCAAGAAATCTAATAAATGAAAAGTCAGACTAGCAGAAAAGATGAATTGGTGAGAGGATATTACCTACATGTCTTAAGGAGTTCCCCCACAGGATTCCTTCATAGCAAACCTCTGTGATGAGATAGAGAACTCGTGACGATTAGGTAGGTTCCTGCTATGTGTTTTGGGTAACTTTCTTCAGTCAGCTTTTGAGGGATCAAAGACAAGGATTTATTACTTTTGCAATGAGTGAACTGTTCCCATCTCCAAACTCCACACTGAAGAATCTGTAGCAAGCTGGCCACTAATCTGTCTCCCATGTGAGGAAGAGTACCCATCGTTAGTTCTTCATTACTTAGGTCTTCTGTCCTAAGTGCTGGGTAAAAACCCATTCTTTTCTCAGCCCGGATGTCACCAGCATTATCAGAGCAAGACCTCCTCCTGGCCCTGGCTGCTTATCCTCTTCCCCGAGGAGTCAACACCTCATGGGAGAAACACGGGCATTGGATTCTGAACCCCAAATCTGGCTTTGCTGCTTAGTAACCAAGTAATTACAATATTCTGGAGCTTCAGTTTTGTCATCAATAATGGAGGTGACAATATACAATTCAATGGGAAGTCGGAGGATAAGTTAATCTTGGTAAAGGATCCAGCCTTGGGCCTGTCATATAACAGGTGCTTAACAAATGGGAGTTTTAATGATGACAGCTATTATCCTGGATATTTCCTGTCTAGCTTTCCCTTGTCTGTTTTTTCTTTTCCTTGTGTGTTTTTAATGTTCTTCCAGTAGGCTTTTTGTTGATCCAGAGTTCTTTTCCCTTAACCTGAATTCCTCTCTCTCTCTCTCTCTCTCACACACACACACACACACACACACCCTCCAAACTCCTCATCTCTCACTCTCCCTCCTCACCGCCCAGCTCACTGGGCCAGAATTCCCATCTTCCTCAAAAAGAATCATCACTTCTTCTTCCTAATCCCCATCTGGAGCCAGACATGATTTCCACGGAACAATGGTACATCTGCATGTCATTAGGGTTCAGCTCCCCTGGCCCCAGCCAGGCTGAGCAGGATGCCAAACCCGCAATGATTTTCAGGGAAGGGATTCTGTCAGAAAGTTCCTGTGTCCATTTAAAATGGAGTTGATTTATAAAAGCTTCGGTGTATAGCTAACTCTCAGAAACAAGCTTGAGTTCTAGAAAAGTGAGATTCACTGGCTTAAAAAGAAGTGTCACATAATATTTGTCCCTATATTGTAACTTCCTCGGACTGGAGAGGGAGGACAAATAGAAGTAACTAAATGTGTTATTTATTCTGTGCAAGGTACTGTGCTAAGTGTTTCACAGCCATTATATTATTTACTTTTCAAAGCCACCCTCATAAAATGAGTATTATCATCCTCACTTCATGGTGAGAGAACGGAGATTCCAAGACATCCAGTGGCTTTGCAGGAATGAAGCAGGTCAGTGTTAGAAGCAAGGAATAAATCCAGATCTGTCTCACGGTTTATGACCTGTAAAACACATATGTAGAATATGTTGGCTTGTATATTTTTCTGAGTACTGGGGGTCATCGGAGGCAAGAGGCCCTCCTACAGGTGAGAGTAAGAGAACTCTGGCACCTTCAGTGCATAGGTGGTTGCCACACTCTCAGGTTGCAAGAAGTTTTTAGGACGAGTTTAATCCCTTTTTTATTTCAGGGTTTCCAGAAATCCCCTAAATGCCTAGTGGGAAGTGTCTTGATTAGCTCTTACCATCACACAGAGAGCACTAAACCTGCTGACTATAAACTAATCCTCTTTTCCTGGAACTGTGCATGGACAAAGATTTGGAAAAGTGATGATTTCTTCCATTCAGAGATGGGCAAGTCTCAGGCCAACTGGGCAGGGGCCTGTGACTCGGGCCTCTAGTAGGCGCTATGACATTGGAGGGTGAGGGTGGAGACTCAAATTTCACTAGAAACATCACCTGGAATGCAGAAAAATATACTCATCAGATCTCCTCCCACGGTGTATACTTGGTGCAAAAGAATGGTTTGATAGCTGACAAGGGAGTGAGGTTTGGATGACCACAGGGCTCTTGCCTCGCAGGGTAAGGTCTGCAAATTTAGATCTTGAGCTGGATTGCTTAGGACAGGCTGAGCCGTACTGCCCAGCATGCATTCATTCAACACATATCGTTTTGAGTGATCACCATGTGCTGTGTCTTGTTTGAGGTACTGGGAATAAGCCAGTGAATAAGAAAAAAAAAAATCTCAGTTGTTCTTTTACGTCAGGTTTTTGCCCCCAGTTTTATTGAGGTCTCAGCTTTTCCACCAAATAAATATTGAAAAATACTTCAAGATCTTGCAGGCTCCCACTGTGACCAACTAAGCTAATGCACAGTCCCCTTTGTCTTATAAACTAAACATGACCTACAAAATATGACCAACAGTGTTTTTTACACAGTTGAGCTTGAAAGAAAGGCTATCCTAGGTATCAGAAATGAAAAGGAAACATAAAAGTGAAGTGATAAAATTGATCCAGGAAGGGAACTGGACTAACAGTAGACCCAAGTCTGCTATGTATTAGAGTTCTAGTACTGAAGAGTTCATAACATGTGGCCACAGGCTCGTAGGAGGCAGGGAAGACTCCTAAATAGGGTTTATAGGCACGAAGCTAAACACCTACAGTGAAAGGGACTAAAATGTCTACTTAGCAGCCCAAGGGTGTGACAAAGAAACAAGGAAATACGTTTCTTCCCAGAGATTTTGGGTGAAAAATAAAAAAAACTCGGGTCTATGCTCAGTTCAGGCTAGGAGTTCGAATTTATGCATAAACAGTGCTAGAAATTAACATTAAAAATTGGTCCAAATTATACCCGAGGCACACAGACAGTAGGAAAAAAACATTCCATTAAAGATAAATCAGCAAAGCACGTGCAGAAATAGGCCACAGAGAGAGAGAGAGAGAGAGTCACAGACACAAAAAAATGGGAGGATTAGCTCCTTTAAATAGTTAAGATAGTAAAATAATCTGAAATAGGCTATAAAATAAGAATTTTAAAAAGGTTCAAGATAGGGATTAATGGAAACTATGAAAAAAATAATTTGACGTGATGAGGAGAAGTTAAGACTATCAGTGTCCAATTACTAACCTGCAGTGAACAGCAAAGTGTGAGGGCACTTCAATACATCTGTGAAAAAACAAAATTAAAAGATGTTTATTTTGTCCCAAAAATTTGAAATCCATGCGTACTTTTTGCATGATATGAATTTTACAGGAACTCTTTGAAGATCCTTCATTTGCATGGATTTAAAAAATATTTTTTGCAGGGCCAGCACCATGGCTTACTTGGTTAATCCCCCGCCTGCAGCACCAGCATCCCATGTGGGCACCGGGTTCTAGTCCTGGTTGCTCCTCTTCCAGTCCAGCTCTCTGCTGTGGCCCGGGAGTGCAGTGGAGGATGGCCCAGGTGCTTGGGCCCTGCACCCACATGGGAGACCAGGAGAAGCACCTGGCTCCTGGCTTCGGATTGGCACAGTGCGCCAATTTGGGGAGTGAACCAACGGAAGGAAGACCTTTCTCTCTGTCTCTCTCTCTCCCTGTCTATAACTCTACCTGTCAAATAAAAATAATAATAACAATAATAATACTGAAGAAACTGAGCCACTCAGAGTAACATATTTGAGGCCAAGGGAAGTAGTTGTCAGAAGAGCATGACTTGAACCCAAGCATGTAAGAAGCAGAATTCATGCTTTGAGCCACAATTCTAGTGCAGAAATTAAATTTAGGAATCATCAGTGTATGAAAAATATTTAGTTATGAGTCCAAGTAGATATCACCCAGGTTTATGAAAGTCTGAGGGTGGTTTGGAGACAAGAGCTCTGCACTGGAGATGCAGTATCAAACCCAACCATTCTATAAATGCAAGCACTGCTCTAAGCATTGTGCATATGTAAGTCACTTAATCCTCACAATTATCTTAATAGATACTTTGAAAAGTTCACAGGAAAATAGAATTAAAAGGTCATTTGGGGTAAGTGTTTGGCCCAGATGTTAAAATGCCAATGTGAGATACCCACATCCCATATCGGAGTGCTTGAGTTCAAGTTTTAGCTCTCTTATCAGCTCCCTGCTAATGTGCTGTCTCCAAAGCAGTGGTGATGGCTCAAGTAATTGGGCTCCTGCCAGTCTCAGCTGTTGTGGGCATTTGGGAGTGACTCAGCAGATGGGAGCACTCTCTCTGTTGCTCTCTCTGCCTCTCAAATAAAATAAATAAATAACATTTTTAAAACACAATTTTATTTTTCCATGAACTTTCGGAGGTAG